TTTGTAAACATACCGATGAAGAACATTTAAAATTTAGGGGGGAGAGAGGTGTTAATGCACTTGAAGATGTTCAGCTATTTAAACAGTACATACTTTTATATTCCCCTCATTTAACATTATGTATTTACTCATATGTATGCATTCCGTTACCTTGGTACAATATGTATATATATCCGTCTCTGAATTACGAATAAAGCAGTCGAAGTATAACCTTAAATGACTCGGACATAACAGACATGAAGACGCCTACATCCATGTAGGTATTAAATGTGTGTAGATCGGCAATGTCAAAGCCATATGCACTAGGTGCACATTTTTTTTTTGTAAAAGTACTTATGTACCTACATAGTTTTAGGCCACGATTGAGAGAATACAAAGGTTGCGCCGTTCTCGGACCGCTATTCCTCTCTTAACGAATTTGACAGAATCGTTGTTTGCATGACGTCACACTTGCGCAACTTGTTTACGTTTTCCTTGCAACATTTTTTCTTCTTCTTCCATTCTTGCTCACGTTTTGGCATTTCTCTCTCGCAATTGCACCAGTGTGACGTCACACAAAAGTTATTCTCAAAAATCCTCTCTGATCGGCGCAATCTTGTATTCTATCATTCTTGGGTTTAGGCTGTGTGTTCTAATACATATATACACACACAGCATTCCACGCGAAACTATACGAAATACCCAGTAGGGAAATGGTCACCGGTGACATCGTCACTAATGAGGATTTAGTGACACCGTCACACTTGCTGTGAATCCTAAACGACATATAGCTGACAATGACACTGGTGACAATGTCATGCAGGTGTACTCCTATCAAAGACTTATAAGAGACAATGTCTTGCAGCGGTCACTTATAAAAATTCCATTGCAAGATACTGTCGCTTGAATGTCATTAATGATCACTGCATAACCAAGTCATGCAGGTGACATCAACGACGAAATTACCATTTATATGAAAAAGTCATGAACGACTTCCATACAAACGGAGTCCAACGTCATTTAAGACGTAACTTTTCCGTACAAGACTCTTAGGTGACTAATGCATGACATTCGCTACGGGGCAGATGCACAAACATTTTTGTCTACTTCGCTTCTAATTTTTTTCATTGCGTATGCACAAGCACAAAGCAACAACATTTTCGTATGCTTTGTTGGAATATATTGGCCCCAGTTATCTTCAGCGTAAATTTCATTGTTGTTCTGCATTTTATCGCAATGTTCGGGTGTCCGCTTCATTGTTACACAAATTTTCGGGTTAGTTGCGGGTGTCCGAGTGTGGTGTCCGAGTGTGGTGTTCGTTTGTGCTCAATTTATAGCGAGGGTGATCGAACAGACTCGTTCGTACTCAAAGCAGCTGTTAGGTGTGCATCTCGATCGAACACATAGTAACCGAGTGTGGCGTTCGCTTGTGCTCGATTTTTATTGAGGGTGATCAA